AACTCATTCAAAGCATTTACAGCAGATCAGTCCACATACTGATCAATGAGGCACAAGAATTGGAGTGGGGAATGGCTCAATCCTAGATATTTATCATTAGTAAATTGATATATTTTTTTCTCTCTGGACTAGTGAGTAAAGGAAATGTATATGTTAAAATCAAATAATGTAAAACTACTTCCCTACAAAATAACAAGACAACAGAATTTTTTTTTGCATAGTTTAAGAAATAAAGTACATGTGTATTTGTATTTCCCTTTACTAGGTTTCTAAAAGCACTCCTTTAAACCTTTAAATAAAACAAATTATCTCAGACTGAAGAAATAAGCTTTATTTGGAATAACTATAATTTGTTTTTATTACCTTTAAAATCTAGAAGAAGGTCTATTAGTGATTATCATTTTTGACAATCTGACCTTATCTGAAATCTATAAAACCTCTAAATCTAGAGATTTAATGTTGTTTAGTGAGAGAAGTTCTTTGCAATGTGATATCTGTTAATTTATTTTGCAATATTACAATCTTTTAATGTTTTTTTAATACCTTATTTTCTGTATAACACTTTTTTTTTAATTCTAATGTATTGTTCCTTTGTCATCTGGTTAAGGGTAGAATGATCTGGGAAGAGTAGAGTAAGAAAGACACTGGGACCTTGAGGCAGATTGTGTGACTATAAAGTTATAATGAAATTTCAGACAGATCATGGAGAGACATAACAAAGATGACAAAATAGGAGGTTCCAAACTTGGACCACAAAGAATAATAGTTATCCAAGAACAATGATACCTCTGAGAGAGTTCACAAGTCCTCTTAAGAAATTTTAGCCATGGGCCTCCCTGGTGGTGCAGTGGTTGAGCACTGGGCTGCAAAGTTGCACGAAGCCTCTGCAGTGCTGGTTCGATCCCCAGCCGCCTGCAAGGGTCCCACATGGGGTTCGATCCCTGGCCGCCTGCAAGGGTCCCACATGGGGTGCAGACCTTTCCTGCAGCGCCCACTGCTCCACTCAGCAGTGTACTTCTTCGTCAGTCTGCCTGTTCTGCTCCCCGCTCTGGCTCTGGTGAATTTTCTCACTCTCCTGCGCTTCTGACTGTACCCAGTGCTTGTATAAATAAATAAATAAATCTTTCAAAAAAAAAAAAAAAAAAGAAATTTCACCCATATAAAAAGTAGAAAAAAATATTCTGAGAATACTGAGAATAATGCGCAAAAAGAGTATGAATAGCAGTTTCATTTTGCCTGCGTTACTGCACACCCTAGAACAGCACTACTCAGTGCCAAAGAGGAAGCTTCCTCTTTGCAGGAAAATATAGAGCAGAAAGGAAAACCCACCTTTTGTGGGCATTACCTAAGGGACATGGCCCTAATTCCTGTCACTGACCTGTGCCTCCACAAGCACTAGCAGCCTAACAGTTAGGGCATTAGGTGCTGATTCCAAACCCTTCTCTTCTCAGAAACAGGCTGGAAGGTGTGAGTTCCTCCCAGTTTTATGTCACTGTGCAATTTATGGCCAGAGTGCATTTTAGCCTTTCTCATTTTCGCATGGGATTTATAGATTTGCCCAATGTGTGAGAATCACTCAACTAGCTTCTGAAGTTTCTTTAGAGGGAATTGTTACACATTTAGTTCTAAGTTCAGTGTTTTCATGGGAGGATGTGAGGTTAAGAGTCTCCTACTTTACCACTAGAGTCCGAACCTGGATTGGTCTATACTCAACATTTTAAACAAAGGGTTAATTTCTTCACTATCTGCCTCTAGGCTTGTCAGGATAACAAAATGAGAAATTTAAAATGCATGAAAACAAGGGAGCCTTGTATAAATATAAGGGAAGATTGCTTTGGTATGCCTATGTGGGTGTGAATTCCAGAAAGGCCAAGAGGAGTGTGCAGTATCATACATCTCTTTTCCCTCCATGATAAGGCATATTCAAATCTCCCTCTTGCTTATTAAGTTGCAAATAAAGGTGATTTAGTTTAAGAATTCTGTGGTGGACCAGTGCCTTGTATGCCCCAATATTTGTTACCAATTTCTTTTTGAAAGAAAGGGCAAGGCAGTGGCTTATAATTCAGTTGTTTCAAGCTGCCAAATCACTCTATATATACACAAGAGAAACGACTTTCTCCAACAGCACATAAAGAAGTCACCTTTCTCTTCCCTTCCCATTCTTTCATTCTAATCTTTTGTAGTGTGTGGCTTGTAAACAAAACATGTCTTACTGTAGTTTCTATTATCCAGTGCAAATTGGAAAAAGGAACTGTAACGCTTTATAATCTTTCTTTAAAATATCTTCTTACAAATAATTTACTTCCAAATATCAGTGTTCCTTGCATGATTTGAATGGAAGTGCAATGTACTGGAAACAGTGTTTATATCAACTTATTACAAGTAGGGTTTTTTTTCCCCAAAATTATAATCAGAGGAGGCAGTTCCCAAGTATTTTTGTAATCACTATGTTGGGGATAAAACTCTGCAAAGAGATACTCTTTGGACCTTGGGATGAGAAGTAGTTGTTAAATTTGGGAGAAAAATATTTTTTAAAAAGTGGGGGATATAAAAGGTGTTTTTTCTTCCTCTTTTTTCCTCCAAATCTACAGATGATCCAGTTGAATTATATTTTTATCATGATAAATGGTGTCTGAACACCTGGGAAAAAGGATGTTTAAATACTAAATGGAATTTGACCCTTGTTGAATATGTAGTTATGAGCATTTAACATAAAATCTTTGTTGTAAGTTATATGTTTGTGTTTTCTATACTGCATCAAGTTAGGGTGCTAATTTGCCCTGTGTAGTTTCACAAGACAATGCTTTCATTCACTAACAATATTTCATAGTACATTTATAACATCAATACAAACCCATCAACCTATGTGCCAGATTCAGGGTTATAAGAGATGTAGGGATATTCATTAAGACCAAGTAAATAATGTTACAGAGATATACCTCCATGAAGGGGAGGTACCATTTTCCTTGACACCACTTATGTGCAGGCACCTTGGAATATAAGTCACAATATGCCAGGGACTGGACTCCCTGAATGGGGGAGCTACTGGGAACTAGGGGCAGAGCTAAGTGTTTAGGTGGATCTATATAACACAGCAGGCAGGCAGACCCGTCTTGCTTTTCTGGCTTCTGCTTGCACCCTGGTACTGCTAAGAGGGACTCAGATGAGAGACATGTAGAGATATTTGGAAAAGAGACACATGATCAGGCTGTTCTTGGTCCTTGGCAGTGATGATGACAGCCATTATCTTGGTTTCATGTTGGATGATATGATGTATTTTTGCCTCTTCTTTTGCTCCAGAAATCTGAGAACTGCCTAACCCCTTTCTTGTGGTTCCTTGCCAAAAGGTACCTTAGACATGTGGCAAACTTTTGGACCTCAACAACTACACTTCTGGCTGAGCATTTGCGTATGAGGGGATGAATAGTTTTGAGGGTTTTGTCAAGAAACTGTTAATAGGAATATCCCTTCTTCTCTCTATCTATGCACACCAGTTCTATTAAAGATCTTTCACAAAACACAAGCCTACTTCCTTTCCTTTGTGCATGCAGATGGCCAAATCCTTTTCAATCATGCACCTCATAATAGTTTCAGACCCCTGGGTACTCCTCAGTCCTGTGCTAACAATATTAAATATAATTTGAGAGAGAAAGGGAGAGTAAAATGACATTTACTACTAACCCTAAGTTCCTTTGAGATGTATATGAATGGATGACTTATTTAGTCTATTAAGCAGATGCTAGTTCAGCTGTAGTGCATATGTTGATTTTCAAACACTGTTTGGTGGAAAAATATGCATGTAAGAAAATCCACATATGAGTATTGGGGATGCAAATGAAAATTATATTTTTTGATAAATTTCAGAGAAATGGTGAGGGAGAGTAAAGCATTTAGGAAAATAGTACTTAATATTTAAAACAAAATGAATTTATCATCAATTTTATTTAGAGTTTTACTTAATACAATAACCAGATATTGATTTTTCATTTCTTCTCTGTCTTACCATGTGATATTCTGAACTTTTTTTTTAAACAGGAATTTTTTTTTTATTTATTTTATTGATTTATGCATGCCAGAACTGGGGTGTAGGCCAGTGGTGTGGGGGTAAGAGGGATGAGAGGATTCACCAGAGACAGAGTGGGGCACAGAATAGGTGGATCAATTGAAATACACTGCTGAGGGGAGTAGTGGACAAGACAGGAGAGGTCTGCTGCATCATGTGGGTTAGCTCCCTGGCCAGGTAATCCAACTCAAGCATTAGTGGCTGGTCATATTTGATAACACTTAGACTTTTACCCCTGTGCCACCAGGAAGGCCCCAAGGAATTATTTTAAAGTTTAAATATTACTACTTCAGTTAAGGAAGCTGTATCTTAACATTTTAACTCAAAAATGAATAAATATTATCTTCATACTATTCTGAGACATAAAAAATAAACTCAAGGTGTTTTTATTATTTAGAGAAAAAATAAAAAAGGTATAAGCAGAAATAGATTTTTTTAAGTGTATTTTAATGTCTGAGTTTTTGCTTGTATGTATGAGTATGAAATAATAACAAGATCCTAAAAAAAATTATTTGAAGAAAATTTGGAGATCTAATTGTCTCTATTCAATTCACCATGAATCAATTCACATTCCATCCAGCAAGTAGGAAGATACTACTGTATGTTTTACAAAATAGGTTTTCATTGTCAGAAAGAGAGGGAACAAGGTTATTTGTAAAAGTGAAAAAAGTGAATTTAGGCCAAGTCACCTTCCCTTAGGTAAGGTAGAGTGATCTTAATATACTGATTACCTCACTAGTGCTGACCAAGAAACTCTAGATTGATCGGTTTAAAATTCTACCCTTGGGAAAGACTGAAACTGTGGTTACATTTGGTATTAAGTCTTGGTGGGTCTTGGCATAAATGATTCCATTTTGGGGCCTGTTGTTTCTCTTTAACAAGCAAACAAAAAATGTAATACTGAAATTGAGTATTTTATTTTATCTTTTTCTTTCAGCTCTCAGGAGAAGTGGTTTTGCAAATTGCCAATGAACCAGTTCTGCCCTTCAATGCTCTTGATATAGCTTTAGAAGTTCAAAACAAACTTAAAGGTAATTTTTCTTTAAATTTATAGTAATTTTAGCAAATAAAACACTGAGCAACTAATTTTCAATCAGGAATGGATAAAATCATATACTATCTGATTATCCATGGCAAGGCAATGTTTCCCTTTTATATACAGAAATATGTGAAGAGCTGAGAAGATTTCTGGTTGTCATGTCAGTAGGAGTAAAGTGTACATATGTAGTACGTATTAAGATAATGTACCATATCTTAAAGACTGTTCCACTTTCTTTCATAGGAGATTAATAATTCTAAGCTTCTGCTATGATTTTCAGTTTCCACATGAAAAAATTGTTCAGGTTTTGTTAATGTTTGTACCTAACATCCAGTCAATTCAATTCTTTCATGTTTGAATTCATCTCTTTCTGCAAAATTCTGACACTGTCCCTATAATGACCATTTTTTCTGCTTATCAATATGCAAATCTTTAATTAGATTTCTAATTGGTCTTCATTAACCACATTCACAGGGCACCACTGTAACAAATGAATCTTCATCTTCCTCTCTGACCTTTAATAAATCATTTGTAAATCATTTGTAAACATGTACTTATCAATACAAAAAAAAAATACTATGGTTTAGCAGTAATAGTTAAGAGGTACTACTTGGAGTACTCCAAGGAGTCAAATATTTCCAGTACCTGAAAGACTAATTTTTTTTGTTGTTGACAACATGTATTGCTTCTTAACACAGAAAATACAACACATTTTTTTCCTCTTCAGTGATACTATGACTTTTATTATAGTTGCTATAATACCATGACCTTGGGAGCAATTGAGCCATTTAGGGCTATTTGCTCCCATAATAAATGTTCTCATATTTCTGTGCTTTTGGTATATTTAAGTCAGTTCCTATTTTTTTTTTTTTTTTGCACTTGTCAAGTTGCTATCTCACTATTGTTGGTGTGTGACTACTGGTAAGAGTCACTATATTCTCCACTTCTAATTATTTATAGAATAATTTGGACTTAGAAGCTGAGTAACCAAGTATATGACATTTTACAAATAAGAATAAAACAGGTATAATAAAGAGATAAAAAGTTTTGTGAATAATAAATGAATCTTCTGTAAGGATTTCTTTAAGCATCTGTTTTATTCAGTCTCATTTGTTTTGCTTAATTTTTTTTTCAGTTCTCATTTTCATACTTTAGAAAATTTAGTTGGTTATGCATATAATATAAAAACTTTCAGAGAAGGGCCTCCCTGGTTGTGCAGAAGGTTGAGCACAGCACTGTGAGGCTGTCTGGAGCCTCTGCAGCATGACTTCAATCCTGGCAAGCCAGGGAGCTACCCAAATGGTGCAGCAGACCTCTCCTGACTTGTCCGCTGCTCCCCTCAGCAGTGTATTTCAGTCAGTCTGCCTGTTCTGCTCCCCACTCTGCCTCTGGGGAGTCTTCTCACTTCCCGCATCGCTGGCCTTCACCCCAGTTCTTGTATGCATAAATAAATCTGGAAAAAAAACTTTCAAAGAATAAGAGTAGATTGTAATTTATATTACAGAAATATTTCTCCGGGCCTCCCTGGTGGCACAAGGGGTTAAGACATAACCTATGAAACTATCCGCAGCCACTGTAGTATGAGTTTGATCCCCGGCCAGGGAGCAACCCAGATGGCGCAGCAGACCTCTCCTGACTCGCCCGCTGTTCTTCTCAGCAGTGTACTTCAGTCAATCTGCCTGTTCTATTCCCTACTCTGTCTCTGGTGAATCCTCTCACCCTCCACACCTCTGGCCTGTACCCCAGTTCTGTATACATAAATAAATGAATCTTAAAAAATATATTTATCTACCTATAAAGAAATAACTGTCACACACAGAAAGGAACCTCAAAGAGTATATTGTAAAATAAAAGCATTGCATAATATGAATTGTAAATGGTTACAGGTTGCTATTCTGAGTCCATATTTTCTTTGACAAATGTATATTATATTTGTAATAAATATAAGTAGTATATCTTGGAGCCTCCCTGGTATCACAAAGGGTTAAGTCTCTGAACTATCAAGCTATTGGCAACCAAATAAAGAAGCTGAAACAAAACTTAAAACTTTGCTTTTAAGGAACATATATACATGGTGGAACAAAACTGACACAAATAAAATAATTTTAAAATTAACACTATACTCAAATTGTTCCCTAATGTAAATTGGTTTGGAACACATTTGCATTCTCAAAATAAGTGTATTAGCAAAAGTAACTGTAATTGTATCCAGGGTACAGAGGAGAGATCTGGGAAAATAAATTTAGAAGTTGTTCCAGATGAGATGTCTAAGTGATTGAATATAGATGGAGGACAGAAAAGGTCTAACTTTTCTGGGGTACTCCTACATTTAGAAATTGAGTGAGGAGGACCTCTCTAGTGGCTCAAGGGGTTAAGCACAGCACTCTGAAGCTGTCCACAGCCTCTGCAGCACCAGTTTGATCACTGGATGGGTTCGATCCCATCCAGGGAGCTAGCCACATGGCACAGCAGACCTCTCCTGTCTCACCTGCTGCTCCCCTCAGCAGTGTATTTCACTCAGTCAGTCTGCCTATTCTGTTACCCACTCTGTCTTTGGTGAATCCTCTCACCCCCCACACCTCTGGCCTTTACCCCATTTGTTGCATGCATAAGTAAATCTTTAAAAAAAAAAAAAAGAAATTGAGTGAGGAGGTGGAATCACAGAGGAATGACAAAAGAGTTAAGAAAAGCAAGGTGATTATGAGAACCTAAAGAGATCAGATTATGTCCACTGGAATCTTGGCATTGCCAAGCATTAACGCAGGAATAAGTCCTGTAGGAGGAAATGACAGAATCATCCTCTCCAAGAGTCAGAGTTTTCGAAGAAGGAACAGTGATCTAGAGATACTGGACTTGCTCTTCTCAGGCTATTGATGCAAAGGACGTGGAAAACTGAATATGGCTCAGAGGACTGCAGTTGAAGCAGTCCTTAGAAGGAGTCAGGTTTTAGTTAAAGTAAGAAGGTAAAGAGACTATCCTGATAGGCCAGGTTAATAACTCTTTCATTAGTAATGATAACTCTAAGTATGTCAATACAGGGGAAAACAAACAAAGAAACAAAACCAGTGCAGTGATTCTACCAAGATTTCCACTGAAGGTCGGATTAAACTCTTCCCTAATAGTCAAGGTTTTCCACTGGATGAGACAGGACCGTTTGACTTATTTCTGTTTTATTAGACTACCGCTCTAGTTGAACAACTTTTTCTTTGGTTGTTGGTTATTTTTGAGTAATGGTTTCTTTTGATGTGAAACTACTTGGATTTCCTTGTCATTTTTACCCAGAAAAATGCATCCTGACTTAAGATGTAACCATACTTAAAAAAAAAAAAAAGCAAAACAAAACCAAATGTGACTGAAAAATGTAGGAGAAAATATTTCTCCATGACCTCAGAATAAATATCTCATCCAAGTGCTATGATTTGTTATCTTTAAATTATATACTTCTTAATTTTAGTCATTATGAATCAGAATTATATGCTCTGTTTCATAGTTAAAGATTCATCAAGGACTCAAATTGTAGGGAATTTTGTGTATCTGTTTCATTTTTACTACTTTGGTTATGAACTTATTTCTATCATAGAATAACATGTTAATATGTAAATAATGGACACCAATTATCAACTAAATAAATATTTCAGCTTCAATTTTAGCTGCAATGCTAAATGATTTCACTAAACAGTTCCTGTACCAGGTTAAATAAAACACATAATCTTCCTGCTTAATACAAGAATTAATTGTTTACTTATTTTTTTTGTTATGACAGTAGTGTTGATTAGTCCTAAATTCTCAAAGTAAAAAAAAAAAAAGATGACCTTCAAGTCTGAACTATAAAATACTGTTTCTCCTTACTGCAAAGAGTTTAAGTATGAAGGTCTCTGAAACCCAATTGCATTTCAACAGTGTAATTTTTACTCCTTGACAACCGACCATCTTGTTTATTTATTACACAAGTTTACAGTAGCAGCAGACCATTCTCTACTGTTCTCACAACCAACAGAAAGAAGGATAATTTACCAGTGAATAATTTGTTTGAGTTGATTTATTGGATGGTTCTTGAAAGCTCATTTTGACTGAATGACCTTGGCTCCTAATATTTGGTCAATGCCAACCACATAATAGTTAGAAAATGAATATTTATATGTGTCCATGGACATATAGTATAAATAGTGACTGATGAGATAACCAATACACTTCAGATGTACTTGTGACAGATAAAATATGTCCAAAAAGTGCACATTCAAGGAAACAGTACTAGATTATGGAGGGCAGAGGGAGGTGTCAAAAATTAACAAATGCCACCACAACTTTAAATCTGAAAGTTGACTGAGAAGTAAGTACTTAAAAACATTACTAAGTTTATGGTTTCACACTTTATCCCCCTTTTAATATATAAAACAGCACTGCAAAATAATTAATGATTATATAATTCCAATTTTTTTTGTTTGTTTAATGTCTGAAATTTTTCTTTGCAAGAATTCTGGCTGTCAATTCCTTCACATTATTGCAAAAACTAAAAATGACCAAATAAAATAAAAGTGATTTTCATTTGATCTGGCTATGTACACATTTTGCTTAATGCAAGCCAGACTCAGCAGGGAACACAACTTAGAACCATGTGGCTTATTGCCACCTCTGATTCTCACTAAATGTAAAATGTCTGTTGGCAGTATTTCCGCCTGTTCTTTGAAAAACTGACAATGCTGATTTGATCTGACTTTTTTCTTTTTTTATTAACTCTGATAATTCATTAGTGTCAATCCCTTCATTTTAGAAGAAGGCTTAGTATCTCAAGGCGATGATGCTACTGAGGTGAGCACATATGTCCTGTTAGAAATGTAGTTTCATATTTTCAAATGTCACATCAATTCTTTTCTATATTCACAATTGATTTGAGTGATATAAAATGAATTTCCCAGTTGACAATATTAAGCTTGTGCTGTGTAAATTGCATGATTTCAGGCCTCCACCTACTTATCTCCTGTCTTGGTTTTA